ATTTACTCTGAGATACTGAAACTTTCACTAGCTGTTTATTAATGCCATAGAAATTTTGATGAGTCAACTGTTTCTTCTCGTCATTTTACATTACCATGGCAACTGTTAAGGAAAGTGAATTGCTTTCTGTTTTGTTGGTTAATGAGCTAATGTGAGCCAGGTTTTGCAATAACAAAGGCTCGCAGAAGTAATAAGGTTCGATTTCCGTCAGTCTCTTGGGTCTGGTTTACGTTCCTCTCCGAGATGGCTTCGCAGGCAGCGCCTGGTCAAATAAACCGGTCAAACACGATCCATTGCAACCGTCATATTGCGAACCATGTACAGTTGAACGCCACGAGCTCGAGCTCTTAAGGGCAACCACAAAAAGTTTGAGGGGCGCTAGAAGATAACCCAGTTCGAGATAGCGACGTCAATTGTGATCCTTTTTTAGCGACCACCCGTGATCATTTAACAGCCCCAGGCTTTAAAAGTGACTAATTAAGGCCCCGTCTACATAATACACCGGAGAAATTTGAAAATGCAGCATTATTTTTGCGGTTAGGCCTACCGTCCATACTAATCCGTCACGAAAAGGGCTTTTCGAAAACGTTCTTTAAACCGGAGGAATTTGAAATCGCCGGGTTTTCGTTTTCGTGTGCACGGAAAAGTTTGAAAGCGATGCTTTTCGAAAACAATGACGTCACGATAATCACGTGTTTTCCCTGACCGAGTTTCCCTCAAACACAAATCCAAAATGACCGTTGATTGTTACGTTTTCAAGTTTCTCCGGCTTAGTGTGGACAAAAAACATTTGCCGAGTTTTCAGAGTGAAAACTCCGCTTTCAGATTTCTCTGGCGTAGAGTGGACGGAAAACATTTGATGCCTTTTCAGACTGAGAACTCCGGTTTCAAATTTCTCCGGCGTAATGTGCACGGGGGCCTAAAGGCGTTTTCGGAGGAGAGAACTAAAACCTGGCGGGCGCGTGATTTGAGTCAAGTTTGGTGTGCTATCCTAACAGACTAGAAAAAGTCATTATGAATACTACTGCTAGTGGCAGTACCAATTATACTTTTATTTTCCTTTGTGCAATTTATTTCCCTGAAAGTGATGATTTTTTAAGCATTGCAATTTAATTACAATCTAATTGCGGTTAATTTTAAACTATTAAACTTATCTATAAGAAAGAATTGAACTGTGTACATTGTAAAATGAAATGCGAAAATTTCAATAATTTCCATAGCATTGGTGTCATTCATAAATATTGAAATATTGCTTTCGGATGGAAATTTAAATTGTCTCCTATAATCAGCTATATTTAACTTCATCTTCAATCATATTTGAAATAATTCCTGTACAGCAACATTTTAAAGCACTGTTCATTTGAATTAAGTTTAGCCGGCCTGCGCGGTACGTTGAAATTTCATTTCTGTATTCATTTGTTAATTTTTAAAGGCTTGTTTTTCGTCGCTTTCAAAGCTTGCGCGCGGCGACTTTTCTCCAGTCACAAAGTGGCAACCAATCACAGCAAGGCGAACCCATCTTTCATGGTACGGCCAATGAGAAGAAACGACCCCTGAAACCCCTAATGACGTCACACGTTGATTTAATTCACATTGCCACACTGCTTGTCCAAAATAGATACTACCTATAATAACAAAAAAATACTGTTCTCTTTTTATTTCAACAGAAGAACTTGAGAGATGAGAAGATAGACTGTGGCTGTTGCTGTCGTCGCAAGCATAATGGGAAATCCAATTCTACAACAAAACAAAAATAACAGTTTATCATGTTAGTCAGGTGAGCGTTCCTGAACAAATAAGAATTTTCCGAATATTAGCTGCGCGAAAATTAGGGCGAGACCAAACAAAACAAGAGTAGGAGATGGAGGGGCCATCTTTCTCCCTCTCTCTATTCCTTTTGCTTGCTCGCGCCTCACTTATCACACGCCCAAAAGACGGGAACGATTGCTATGTAAACTAAGTAAAGTTTAGGACGTCCTTGCTCTGTTAAAGGGTTCATGTCGCGCTGCTTCGCACAAGCAAACACTGATCTGGTGACGGTAATACACCATTTAAGCTTGGGCGGTTTGTTGACTCAATTCAGACCAAGTGATACTCTTAAAATTCTTACTTTCAAAATTTCTTATAGTCGCATGTATGTGAATGAAAATTTTTAGACTGATAAAAGAACAATTCACTAGATAATATCACGTGGTCTGTGACGGGAAAACAAACTACCCAAGCTAAAGGCTTCTTGGATCAAACAAGTGTTTAGTTTTAGAACAGCCACTCTCCGCCTAATTTCAGTTAAGACAAGCCTTTATGTTAAATTTCCAATCTGTATCCTCTGTGAAGCTGAGCTAAGTTGAATAATCTTGTCTTGTCTAATCTTGCCGTCACACTTTCAGCGTCCTTTATACTCTCCGAAATGTGATAATTAATGAAGTAAAGAATAAAACAAGAATTCAAAAAGACTATAATAAAAAATTCTTACTTGAAAAAGCTGTTGAAAGTAATAGGATATCCGTACTGCTCTGCGAGTCCAGCACATACTACATTAGCTGATGCCCCAATTAGAGTGCCGTTCCCTGCATTGAAACAACAACAGTTTCGTTAACAAAATATTAGTTGAATGTAAAATAGAAAGCATTAAATGTTAAAAGATACGAAAATGTCTCCTAGAGCAAACTCATATTCTTACAGTCAAACCAAGTGAAGCGTACTCCTCAAGATTACATTTATTTAACAAATTGATTACTTGAATATCAAACTCGCAAGTCGTTCCAAGAATACGGCTAACGGGTTCAATATTAGAAAAAAAATCACTTCATTATTGCACTCTTCAAACGACTAACGGGTTCAGTAAAATTTCTGTGGTAGTCATCTGGGCGACTAGCCAGCGAACACAGACAGATTTTCGGAAATACGTCTGTGTTCGCAGGCTACCGGGCGACAAGATCTGACAATATGAAATCGCCGAATATTAAAATTGTCTCAGTTTCAGCTGCAAGAGTTGTACATGGCCCCGCATGGTGTTTCGGAAGATTCTGCATGTGTGCCTCACCTCCTAAGCAGGAACCCATGGCCAGGGCCCACACCAGAGAATGAAGATCTATATTATTATTCTGACTGAGTTCCATCACAACTGGAATCTGCAAAGAAGAAAGCGAGTGTTTGAGAACCTTGCCCAACCCAACTAGTTTGACCTGTTGCTTTACGCGACAAACAAGCGCAAGCCCGCGGAACCCTTGTCAAATGGGAACGAATCTCGCCCGCGGGACACTTGACAAATGAGAACCAATCTTGTTCCCAAGGCCACCATCCTTTTGGTAAGCAGCGCAAATCGGAACCACTGAACAAAATCGGAAGCTGAGCCAGCATTGATCACAGCGGTCGCTCTCTCGCTGCGTGTTCAATATTGGACACATGCACATAAGTATATCGCCACCAGGATTTCCTGGTCCCGGTTTTCTGTCTAGAGCGAAGAGTCTCGGTCACCACTGACGGAAAACGCGGGCTCTGAGGACAAAATTGAATGAGAAAATGGGTAGATTAAATAGTGACGTCACGGTGATGTCATCCTATGAGGTGTTGTATGGCGTTTTCTACCGGGGCAATTGGTTGGAACTTCTTTTTTACCACGATTAGAAATCGTGCAACGAACTTGTTGCGCGCAAGGATACAACAAAGTATGTAGTACACGGGGCCACTTTGTTTTAAAACAGTGTTATGGGCAACAATATTTCTAGGTCGGAACTGGGAAGAGAAAGCGGAAAGACAAATAAACCGCTTACCATAGCAGTTGTAAAAGGAATATTGTCTATAAATGATGACACCAACGCTGAAACCCACACGATTACAATAATCGCGATCGCCAGCTGCCAGTGGTTGTCGCTTCCACTCTAGAAGAAAGTAAATAAAACACAGTCAAATAAATTAGTGAAAGGATCGTACCGTTGCACACACTTTGGTTTGAGCCTGGTTTACCATACGACGCAAGCAGAAGGCAAGAAACATACGTAGACGCAATAACGCAATAATAATTGGCGCCTTTTGTTGAGAGAAACGTTCGAGAAAGGCCCGACCACACTACGCCGGAGGAATTTGACAACGCATCAAATGTTTTCCGTCCACACTCCGCCTGTCCATTTTGGATCTGTATTTGAGGAAAAATCGGTCAGGAAATCACTTGATCATCCTAACGCCATCGCTTTCGAAAAGCTCCGCTTCCAAAATGAACACTCGAAAACGAAGAGCCGTCGTTTTTAAATTCCTCCGGTTTGAAGAGCGCTTTCGAAAAGCTCCGTTTTCGTGAATAGTGTGGACGGTAGGCCTAACTGTAGAAAGAAAGCTGCGTTTTCAAATTTCTCCGGCGTTGTGTGGACAAGGCCTTAGCTACCCGTCCAATCAAAACTACCAGGTGCACTGCCCGTGCACTACACTAACACAGGATCATTTGGATTCTCTAGCTCGCAGACTACCTCGCTTTGTGAATTGTGGAGCAATGGATGAACCAACCTAAACACGTCAAAAACAGTCGGTCGTAAAGTAACAAATTTATCGCGCGTCGATTTGATAATTTTCGTCCCCAATGCTAACATAAAAAAACAATAGACCCCTACACAACTTCAGTTGTTTTACTGTGAAAATTCTAAAAATTCTATTGAGGAGGCGGCGGAGGAGGCTCTGGGGAATAACTACAAAGCGGAGGCGGCGTGGCCGAGTGGTTTAGGGCGCTGGATTTGAAATCTGGAGGTCCTTGGTTCAAATCCTCCTCCCTACCGCTATCTGGATTTGTTCTCGGTAGCCTCGAGTTCAACACCTCGACCGCGTTCTGTAAATAGCTAACTGGTCAGCCTCCCACCAGTTGGGATTCTTGATAGTTTATGTTAAATTTGAAATATTTGTTTATTTATCTACAGCGTCCCCAGTTAGCACATTTAATAGCGCTAAATACATTTGACACCTAAATAAAGTTGCTGTTATTATTATTATTATTATTATTATTATTATTATTA